TTCCTATGTACATCCATCTGAGTATAATAATTGCTATTTCTCAAGATATTTTTTAGTGTCTAAAAAAGGTGGTGGTCAACGCCCCATTCTCGATTTACGTAACGTGAATAAGTATATCGTTCCTAAGAAATTCAGAATGGTTTCGTTGAAAGTACTCTTGCCCTTGTTAAATAAAAATGTTTGGTTTGCAACAATAGACTTGAAAGACGCTTATTTCCATATTTCAATTAATAAAGACCATCATAGATATCTGACTTTTAAGGTTGACAACCAGGCATACCAGTTTAAAGTGCTTCCCTTCGGACTAACAACAGCACCACGGGTTTTCACAAAGTGTATGGCTGTGATAGCGGCATATCTCCGCACAGCTGGAATAACGATATACCCATATATTGATGATTGGTTATTGGTGGCTAAGTCTAGATATAGATTGGAAAACGACATTAGAAAAACATTGTATTTTCTCCAGTCCCTAGGTCTAATTGTGAATTGGGAAAAATCCCACCTCGACCCGGCGAGGAGAATACAATTCATTGGTGCCACGTTGGATTCAGAAGTGCAGAAGGCGTTTCTTCCCGAAGACCGGTTCAGGAACCTACAAACTCTAATTCTACAAACAGTAAAACTAGACAGAATAAGAGTAAAATGCATCCAGAAAATTTTAGGTCACATGGCCTCAACTACGGGAGTGACACCACATGCGAGGTTGCATATCAGGCCCCTGCAATCATGGTTCCTGTCGGTTTTCAATCCTTTACATCACAATTCCAACACCCGTTTTTCCCTACCTGGGGATATTCGCAGATCCCTGCTGTGGTGGACAGATCAACACAATGTTTGTGCTGGCCTATCTTTTCACCAACCAGAACCGACGGCGGTTCTGACAACAGATTCCTCACTCAAAGGTTGGGGTGCCCATGTGGAGGGCTTTACTGCCCAGGGCAGGTGGACAGAGCAAGAGTCAAGGTCACACATAAATCTGTTGGAGTTACTTGCTGTGGAGAGAGCGTTAAAAGCATTCCAGCTGCTTCTCGTAAATCAAAATGTCCAACTAGTTACAGACAATACCACAGTAATGTTCTATATAAACAAGCAGGGAGGGACCCATTCTACAACATTACTAACGTTAACGTTGAAGATATGGCATTGGTGCATAGACAGAGGCATACATTTGATGGCCATTCATCTGCCAGGAGTTCAAAATGTACTAGCAGACGACCTAAGCAGGTCACCTTTACAACACCACGAATGGATGCTGAACAAGGAAGTGACATCGCTTCTGTTTCGAGCATGGGGCTGGCCGCAGATAGACCTCTTTGCATCACCGGAGAACGCGCAATGCGAGATGTTTTGCGCACGGCTGAGTCGGACAGCACTGTGCAATTGTCTGGGGGATGCATTCCTGCAGGACTGGGGGAGCACAACAGTTTATGCTTTTCCCCCAATTCCTCTGCTGCTACGTGTAGTGTCGAAACTGTTCCAAGACAAAGCTCAAGGAATTTTAGTAGCCCCATGGTGGCCTCGGCAACCTTGGTTTTCCCTGCTGCTGCAAATGTCACGAAGAGTATACATGCGTCTCCCAGACAGGAAGGACCTTCTAGCAACCCAGAACAATTTGGTCCTTTACCCAGATGTTCAGACCCTGAAACTGACGGCTTGGAGAATATTTCCAAGTCGATAGCTACTAATGTTATTCTGTCTCAATCAGTACAAGCAGTTTTAGACGCTGCTCATAGGCGATCAACAAAGAGATCGTACACTTATAAATGGGCACGGTTCACAAAATTTGTCCAGGAGAGGGGTGTAGAACCAATTAAAGCGCCCACTTCGTTAATTTTGGATTTTTTGATGTCCTTAATGGATTCGGGCCTTTCAGTCTCATCATTAAAATGTTATCTTGCAGCTTTATCCTGGTATAGGAGAAAGGCTGGTTTGACATCTTGTTTCAAAGATCCGCTAATTTCTTGGTTTTTAAAGGGGGCAAAGAATATAAGGCCTGCAGTTTCCCCAGTAGCCCCTCCATGGAGCTTAGAAGTAGTGCTCACGGCTTTAACAAAACATCCTTTTGAACCGATGTCATCAACAGATATTTCCTTTGTGTCGTGGAAAACGGCCTTTTTGGTAGCAATAACATCGGCTAGGAGAGTAGGTGAACTTTGTGCACTACGGTGCGATGATCCGTATATGCGGATACATAAGGATAGAGTGGTTCTTAGGACAGATGTGGCTTTTTTGCCAAAGGTGGCTAGTACTTTTCATATGTCTCAAGAGATTGTTTTGCCAGCTTTTTTCCAAAATCCTACGACACCTTTAGAAAAAACGTTGCATTTATTGGATGTTCGTAGAGCATTAGCTTACTATGTAGATAGGACAGCTGAGTCACGGAAGTCGCCAAGATTGTTTGTTACTTACCGGAAAGATACTATAGGTTTGCCAGTATCGTCGCAGCGACTTTCGAAGTGGGTTGTATTGGCTATTCGTATGGCTTACCGTAATTCTGGGAAAGTTTTACCGTTACAGGTTAAGGCGCATTCGACAAGAGCAGTTGCTACGACAACAGCCTTCATGAAGGGGGTCCCGATCGATGCAGTGTGTAGAGCGGCGACCTGGTCTACGCCTTTGACTTTTGTGAAACATTACAAGCTTGATATATTGTCTAAGAAAGATGCTGCCTTCGGGAGAGCGGTTCTGTTTTCAGCTGTGGCATGACGCCCACCGTCCAAGGTTAGCAGCTCGCTAGTCTATTACCATAGGTGCAAATCACAGGTGGTCACGAGGGGAAAGTGAAGGTTGCTTACCTGTAAACGTGTTTTCCCGAGTGACCACCTGTGGATTTGCACAGCCCGCCCAACCTCCCCGCTACGTCATGCCTCAGGACTTCTGTCTGCTTAATGCGGCGGAAGAACTGACCGTTAGCTCCATTTGGGGCTATTTATGTGCTCGGAGGTGGGCGTGGCTTAGCTAACGGTTTAGGAGAGTCTCGAGAATGTCCGATGCTGCCTGCGCGTGCGCAGGAATTACCATAGGTGCAAATCCACAGGTGGTCACTCGGGAAAACACGTTTACAGGTAAGCAACCTTCACATCTATCTATCTATCTATCTATCTATCTATCTATCTATCTATCTATGGTTGCCTTCCATAGATGTGGGCAAAACGTCAGGAGACAATGCTTCTGGAACACGGCCATACAGCCTTGATAACTAACAGCAAATTTTCCAACTTTTTGTATGATGGTAAACATTAGAAAACAGCTTATGCAGGGCAGCACTCCCAAATATTAGGACCTAATGGGTATGTGTGTGTGTGTGTGTGTGTGTATATATATATATGGTCTGATCCATTGAGGAAGTCCAGTACAACGACTATATATATGCTATGTGGACAAAAGTTTCTCGTGGGGCCCCAATAAATATATTATATTATATTATATTATATTATATTATATTATATTATATTATATTATAAGCATTGGCCGGGCTAATGGCAGATGGATGGAGAGTGTTTGTGTGAACTAATTCACACAGTGCAAAAGAAATTACAATATTTAAAATGAACATTTATTCCAATATACTTTTCATTTTTTTCCCAACAGCATATACAATTAAACATTTTGAGAACAATATCTAAGTCAAGAAAGTACATTGCATTTTTAAAAAATAAAAGAAAAATTGTTGATGTCTTAATATAACTTATACATAAAATCATTAAGAATGTCAACATTTTACATAGTTGCTAATCTAAAATAACAATAAGCATGATAATAATTTATTTACTGCGCTTATATACCGCAATTCTCAGCCCTTTAAGGGCTGAGATGATTGCCATCTAGTTTAGAACTTTCCCCACTTAAAACATATTATGTTTATAATTCTGTTTCAATCCTTTATCTACTTAAGTATATTTTGTTTTATTCCTACCCCCGCCCACTTTATCCCTTACCCTTTTCTTGTGCCCCTTCCTCCTGGACCAACCTTTAACCTTATCCTTTAATTCCAAAATTTCATTGTTTCTGTTGCAGGTTTGTTCCCTTTTCCTTCATTCCCTTTTTAACATTAATGTCTCAAGTCAGTTTATCATTAATCTCTATGAAAGAACAATGTTAACCAACATAAACTTAACAGTATTTCAGTAGGCCATCTAGTCCAAGCCCCTTCTGCCATGCAGGAAAACATGCAGGGGCTTGGACTAGATGGCCTACTGAAATCACTCCCAACAGATGGCCATCCAGCCTTTGTAGTAATAATAATAATAATAATAATAATAACAGAAACCCATGCAGGAAAAACACGATCAAAGCACCCCCAACAGATTGCCACCCAGCCTTCGTAATAATAATAATAATAATAATAATAATAATAATAATAATAATAATAATAGGAGCAACTCCAGGGGCCATCCAATCCAACATCATTCTGCTATGCAGGAAAGGCACAATCAGAGCAACCCCAACATATGGCTGTGGACAGCATCTGTGGTGATGGCACTTGACAGCAAACCTTGTTGTGTTGTTGGGCTTATATGGCTTTGACTTGATGCATCTTTGGCTTGCATTGTAATCCACCTCAAGCTGCAGGGAGAGGCGGGTAAGAAATAAAATAATAACAATAATCATCATAATGTTTGCTCTAAGGAAATTAGTGTTTTTTGGACTGCAACTCCCAGAATCTCATATCCAGTTTGGCCCACTTCTTAAGGGCCAGTGTCTCAGAAAACTAACACTGCTTTTAAATCCCCTTCTCAAAGTGGTTCTCTTTCAAATCAGTTTTCTAACCTGGGTGTAATTCAGAAAGCAAAAAGACAGAGAGGGATGGAGGACCAGATAGAAAGTACATACAAACAGGTGGGTGGGTGGGGTTGCTCCTCTGGCAGGGGAGATGGATGTTCTCTCTGCTCTTTGGCTCTTTTTACACATTTTGATCCAGCAATGGCAGGAGCTTAACTGTAGACCTCCATAACTGGTGAGGGAGTACTCTTCACTTCTCTTTTCCATTCTCTTAGCCATGGCTCAGTGACACAGACGATGGGCCCTTCCTTGATCCCATGTTGCGGAAACGTGCTGTGAAGGTGAAGCATGTCAAACGGAGGGAGAAGAAATCTGAGAAAAAGGTAGGATACTGGAATGGCATGATCATTGTGTAAAGAGCAGCTGGCTAGGTATTAGAATCTATCCTTTTTTACAAAAGGATGGGGAACCTTTGACTCCTGGCCTACATCTTTCATAGTCTCTTACAATTGGGCTTATTGGGTGGGACTAATGAGAGCTATCTGGGGTGGCCAAATGTTCTCAACCCCTTTTCCAAGACTATACAATGTGAAAAATCACACTTGTTAGTCAAATTGGGCAGATCTCTCTTGAAGATGTGCAACAAGGTGTTTTATGTTTCTTTCTTTTCCTTTTGATGTTTTAATAATTGATGTTTTAAACTGCTTGGATTTTAATGTATCTGTTTATTTTATGGATATGTATATGTATGGCATTGAATTGTTGCCTGTTGTAAGGCCACTCTGAGTCCTCTTTGGGGTGAAAAGGGTAGGGTACAAATGCGGTAAATAAAAAAAAATCAAAATGAAGAACTGATGCCCCATCTACGCTGGCCACTTAATGCAGTACAAAGGTCAATTCAAACTGTAGTGACCAGATAACAAAGTCACACAAAAGCGTGTGAAAGAAAACCCTTAATGCACACCAGTCAGTGCTTTGTGCAATCACTATCTGGGCCTCAAATTGGTTCCAGGACTTCTTATGTGATCATCTGCACAGCAAAATCACTGTCTTCAATACTGGTTTGAAATTGCATTAAATCATCAGTGTAGGTGAGACATCAGTCATCCAGTCTCAAAGGTATTGCCAGTGAAAATGACAACATAAGCACTGCTTATGTTGTCAAACTCTGCTCATTTCATTCTTCTGATAAGAACTATGACCAGCCAGATGCCTGTGGATATGTTGAATCAGATGAACAACAATGTGAAATAAGATTTTCAAAAATTGAAACATTTTTTTTTTATATGAACCATACTAATCCCTTGACCCCAAATCACATAGAGGCTGATATTGCTATTTACAAAAGTTTAGGAACATGCCTTAAACTAGCAAATCGTGTGGGTTAGTGAAAAGTGGGTATTGAAAAGTGTGGGTAAATGAAATTGTGGGTATTGAATTCTTGGATAAGGGAGTTGTGCTGTAAAGACATATAGACACATAGAATTCTGTATCACACTTTTAACTTGTGTCAGAGTACCGAAGCATATAGTGCTATTAATATAGCTAAAAGAAAGGGATAATCTTCCGGTGACCTGTTTGGTCAGCAACAGCTTCCCTGATCATAAAGGCAGTGAGATAGAGCTGTAAAACAGCTTAACCTGAACTAGAAAAACCTAGATCCCAAACCCTAGTTGAGTGGGTATCTTTGGGCCAGTTTCATTGAACCCATTCTACCTCTGTGATGTTGTTGAGGTCAGTGAACCTTAAGGTCTTTGGTGGAAGGGCAAGATAACAGGTATGACCAAAGTACAGTGTGTGATGATATGAATGGTAGTATCGGAGAGAATGGAGGAAAAGAAAGCCTCCCATTCATTGCCTGAAAGCCAGGCTAGATGACACACATGCTCTCTGCGTAATGCAAGAAGAGAATGAGACTTAAGTGGGATTGCCTGTGTTTGAGGATCCTCAGTAAAGTGAATGTTCTTCTGTTGAAGACATGATGGTGGTATCATCTGTTAAATCTAAGTGTCATCTGCTATTTGGCCTGCAGAAGGATGAGAAATACAAGCGCCACAAGCAGAAGCAGAAGCACCGCGACAGGTCCAAGCATGCTGAGCGGGTGGATGCCAAAGACCCTTCCTCTTTACACCAGTGCCTTGGTCCCGGCTGCATCCAGGCTGCCCGAGTCAACTCCAAGTACTGCTCTGATGAGTGCGGCATGAAACTGGCAGCTAAGTAAGAGATGAACCTCCTTAATGCTGCCTCTTCCTGCCCCTCCACCCCCTCCCAATTTCTTCTCCAATTAAGTTTGCCTTCCTGTTTGCTTACTAACATGGACTGACTGTCAATTTGATGTGACACATGGAGGAGATGTGGTGAGGGTAGTGAGGAGAGTAATGGCATTTTGAGGCATGAAATCGATACACTGTCGATGTCCTTGGAAACCTGCTTTCTATCAACTTCTGTTCTCAGCTAAATGAAAAGAATAGCTATGAGAATGGAAGCCATAAAACTGTAATGGGCAGTGTGAAATCTCTCTGTGGTGGAACTCTGGGAGCAAGTCTATTTCTACTTGTGGGAGTCTTAGTTGCTTCTTTTCTGATCAGAACCCTGTCCCCATATACACAGTTCACAATCTCCAAAATGGTCCAGAAACCTTAAAATCCCCTTTGTCTTCTATGGGGATTGGGTGGGTGGGTGGATGGGGAGTGGGAGGGGTTAGTAGGTTTCTTATCGTATAGCATTTTAGCTTAGGCATTTGGCAGTGCCCAGGTTTCTTATTTTGTAACACTATTTATTAGAAATTGGCATTGTTTTTGTATTTTATGAATGGACCCACTAGAAACTGCATAAGGATGTGGGTGATCTACAACTCCCATCATCCTCCTGCCCCCCCCCCCCTCCTGACAGTATATCAAGTTGGTCATGAAGGGTATTCACGCCAAGTTTGGTCCAGATGCATCGTCAATGGGCTTCACAGTGCTCTGGAATGCGGGATGAATTACAATTCCCATAATCCTGGGTCAGTCTCCTCAAATTTAAAGTTGGTCATGATGGTATGTGTTTCACGTTTTGTCCATATCCATCAGCGCTGGGAGTCACAAGAGTCTCTGGATATGGGAGCCAGTTTGAAAAACACATACAAACATACATAGATAGAATATATCAGGGTTGAGAATTATGCTATTCTTCAGGTGATGTTGGACTGCAACACCCAGCATTCTTCACACTTGGCTGTGCTTGTTAGTGGTGATGGGATGTCTACCACGATCTGGAAGCCTTCATGATTCCTGTCTCTTACTGCCCTAAGGTCTCTTGAGGCACCTTCCACTTAAAATACAGTTGGCAGATAAATTCAGTAAGCTACTTTGAGTTGTGTGGTGCCATCTGTTTCCCCTCCACTACATTGACTGGTGTCACGTTTCCCTCTTTCCCAGCCGTATCTACGAGATCCTCCCCCAACGCATCCAGCAGTGGCAGCAGAGTCCTTGTGTGGCAGAAGAGCATGGCAAGAAACTCCTGGAGCGGATACGGCGGGAGCAGCAGCAGGCCCGACTCAGGCTCCAGGAAATGGAACGCAAGTTCCACGAATTGGAAGCCATCATTGTCCGGGCCAAGCAGCAAGCCATCAAAGAGGATGAAGAGGTACCTGGAAAACATGGGAGTGAAAGGGACTGGGCGCCAGGCAGGTCATGTGGGTTGTCTCTTGAGTGGTTTGAAATAGGCAGTTCTTTACGGCGGAGGTAGGGATGAATGCGCTTGAGTTGGATTAGCATAGAGTCCTGTGGCATCCTATTTATGTGTGTGTGTGGATGTGGATTCACTGGTTTCTTTGAGTGTCAGTAGTGTAGAACATATCTCCATAGCAGTGAGTATGGTCTTGAATCTTCTCATAATCAGAAGGAGTTTATGGGAATGAGATCCTCAAAAGCAATTGGCACTCTTTTCTTTATGAAGCTAGCCAAAACTCTGGGACCTATTACCAATTTCTAGTCCCAACAGCATGAGCACATAATGTGAGTTTGCCAAGTTCCCATAGTTGCTGGATGTAGGCTAGAGGTTCCTAGATTGCATTAGTGTCAAACCAGGGAAACTTGGATACTGTTATGATTCAAGTCAAATCCCATTGGTCTGATATATTTTAAAAACCTATTAAAATGAAACATTTAATGTACTTTCTAGAAATATATAAAAAAAATTCTAGATACCTTCATTCATCCCACCCTTTCAAAATGTGGGAAATCTTTATCTTTGATTAATTTATGTATAGCCTTTTCCCCCCAATATGGGACCCAGGGTAACTTACAACATTGTTGAATTGATTTATTATTGATTTATTTGCATTGCACCTTTTAAACTTGCCTAGTGTGGAGTGTTAGCCACCTTGAGTCCCCCTGGGGAGAAAGGCAGGGTATAAATGATGATGATGATGATGATGATGATGATAATAATCATAAAAGCTGACGATACAGATGTTAACATTTGTATCAACTGCCATGCAACATCACACATAATTTAGAACAGTAGAAAATAACAATAAAAATAATAAAATTATAAGTGTAGCACTTTTGCATCCCTCATTAATCATGAAATGCTTATTACAATAAGGTAACCTTCTCCTGTTGGCAAAATGAAATCTGAGCAACCAGCCTAGCTTCCTGTGAAAGTTTGTGAGTAGTCCCTAAGAAGGCTGCAACAGTGACAGAGTTGATAGAAAGCCCTATTGGACTTTGTAGGTCATAACCAGAACTTTGCTTAGAAATGAACCAATACCTAGTGAAGCTTGGGAGAAAGGCAAGATATTAAATAAATAAATACATGTTCAAGTCATTGCAACCCTCTTGGTGTCTTGTGGGGAGAAGCTATTTGTCTTCAAAAGTTAATTGCTAATGTTGGCTTTGGCTTACCTGTTTTCCCAGACCAGTGAAGGAGACAGCGATGATACAGACTTGCAGATCTTCTGTGTTTCATGTGGCCACCCGGTCAACCCCAAGGTTGCCTTGCGTCACATGGAGCGGTGCTATGCTAAGGTAGGTTGTCTGTTGTCTTTGTGCTAGATCCCCATGGTGTTGGGCTTCGGGCACTTGTGTCTCAGAGTCACCTTGAGGAATTTGTTTCTTTTTAGCCTGTGCTTCCTTTCTGTTAAAAGGTAATATTCATGCCATGTCTCAGCCACTATTGTGAATCAAGACAAAAGCAGCAAAATACTGTTGAAATGACACAGAATGCTGGCCTTTGTTAAACAGCTTCTTAAGATGATGATGATAATGATGATGATAATTATATATACATGTATATTTATTACCTGCCATCTATAAAAACATAGTTAAAATACAACCATAAAAGCTTATATGGAAACATACTGTTGCACTCTCTGAGGACATCCCTTTTCACCTAGCACCACTCCAGAGTCCAGTAGTATCTAACTGCAGGAATTTATTTAGAAAGGCATATACAAAAGGGGAAAAGGCAATTCCCAAAAATCAGTACAAAAGGTGCTATAAAATAGCAGTAGTCCATATGTACAAAGTTCAATAGTCCATAAGACAAGGTATGTGGAATCCAGGAAATCAAGATCATAGGCATAAATCCATAAGCATGAAAACAGTAGCTTTTCCAAAGCAAAACTCTTACAGGAACATAGGTAAACACAGGAACAAAGGCAAACACAGGAGACAAGATTCATGAGCATGAGAGCTGATCCAGGAACTTGATTCTTTGGCTAGGTTGTCTGCTCTGGAGACTCTACGAAACTATCACTTCATTTAAGCTCAGGGCCTGCCAAGAAGCCATGAGATCATTCCTTTGACACCTGGGCCTGAAAGACTTATCACGGAATTTCAAGGACTTCTCACGATGTCTTTCTGACCGTCTAATTAATCTGACCTCTACTCCCTCTGCGCTGAGGTCCAGTCAGATATTGTGGGTAAATTCATCTGTTGAAGGCTGATTCCCATGAGAAACTGAATCCCAAATATCCTACAGTAACTGTCAGCCCTTCTCTCTGATCTAAGGCCTGCCATTCAGCCAGTGTTTCAACCTGATCACACACAGGCTCAGTGAAAAAAAAACCCCATAAGTTGATGGAACCAGGCATGGGACCTGTTTTGGCAACCAATACCTGAACTGAGGGGCAATGCTGTTAATATACTTGATGATATTGATGATGCTTTCATTCAGCTAAGAGTTCATGGATGCACAGGTTGGACAGAAATGATACTTTGCTTTCCAATGGTTCAATGTACATTAAGTTTGTTTCATGTACAAAATTATTAAAATATTGTATAAAATTATCTTCAGACCATGTGTTTAAGGTATATGTGAAACATACCGTATTGTTTGTGTATAAGTGGACCTCGTGTATGTCGAGGGCAAGTTTTGTGGCCAAAATTTTGGATTTTGATGCAACTCTAGAATATGTTGAGGTTCATTCTATAGAGAAGGGAAAGTGCCAGTCCAATCTCGAAAGTCAACATTTCCCCACTCAGGCTTTAAAAAAGGGCTGAAATGGCATGATAGCAGAGAGGGTAGACAGAATCAATGCTTCCTTTAGATTATTTTGGGACTGAATAAGCTCCTGCCTTTTTCTCCTCTTCTTCATTTTTGATAAGAGTTTTTTTTTTCCTTGTCGGGAGGAGCAACTTGAGAAACTGCAAGTTTCTGGTGTGAGACAATTGGCCGTCTGCAAGGACGTTGCCCAGGGCACACCTGGATGTTTTGATGTTTTACCATCCTTGTGGGAAGCTTCTCTCATGTCCCCCATGGAGAGCTGGAGCTGACAGAGGGAGCTCATCCGTACTCTCCCCAGATTCGAACCTCCGACCTGTTTGTCTTCAGTCCTGCCGGCAAAAGGGTTTAACCCATTGCTCCACTGGGGGTCGTATTTATATTGACTGATGGATATGTCAACCCAGCTTATCTGTTTCTATTTTTTGACACAAAAATGTAGACTTATACATAAATATATATAGTTAATGAATTTCCTGTTTATGAGTAGGGTATATGTATTTGCATACATATACCCTACTCATATCTTAGAGTAGGGTATATGTATGCAAATATGAATATGTATGCAAATATGTTTATGTATAATTATGTATATGTATGCAAGTACAGGTATTCCAAAATCCTAATTACTTCTAATCCCAAACATTTCAAATAAGGAAGACTTAATATGCCTCTTTTTATTTGCCCTCTGCAGTATGAGAGCCAGACATCCTTTGGGTCTATGTATCCAACACGTATTGAAGGGTAAGTTATTCCTCGGCTGTTGCTGCCAGCAGCTTCTTACTGAACCCCAGGCATTAGATTTTATTGCATTGAGCTCTCTTGGTCTGAGATCTCTGTTATGAACTAAAGTGGTCCAGTTCATACCCAGAGAGTGAGACTAGAACCCTAATACTGTTTTCAGAATTTGACCATCTACCCATCTTTAGGAATTTAGGCAAGTGTACAGGGCCAGCTGACATATGAGTCTTCTTTAGGAGAAGAAAGCAGGATGTAAATAACTAAATAATAATAATAATAATAATAGGTGGAAATGTCTAGAAGGTTGAGTGACAGCTGTACTCCGACTTCATATTACCAGTATGTTCTGTATATAAAGAAGGAATGGCATATTCTGCATGTAAAATGTATGTTCTATTCCCTGGAGTATCATCACTACCAGTTTTGCAGGATTAAGAACTAGTACTTTTCTTAACTGATCAACATTTCCTGATCATGGATGCCAGAACTTCAAGTAAAGGGATGCTGGATTTCTTGGGTTTAAATTGAATGCTTCTTCTCAGCTATTACTTTTTCTACTCTACTCCTCAGGGCTACTCGTCTTTTCTGTGACGTCTATAACCCACAAAGCAAGACCTACTGCAAACGCTTGCAGGTTCTGTGTCCAGAGCATTCGCGGGATCCCAAGGTAACTTGGATTCGTTTTGAGGCCCTATTCGGTATTACTCTAGGTGGAACTGTCTAGGCCAGGGGTCCTCAAACTAAGGCCTGGGGGCCGGATATGGCCCTCCAAGGTCATTTACCCAGCCCTTGCTCAGGGTCAACCTAAATCTGAAATGACCTGAAAGCACACCACAACAACAGCAACATAACAACAACAGTCCTATATATTCAGCCAAAATCAGGTCCACACTTCCCATTGAAATACGAATAAGTTTATATTTGTTAAAATTGTTCATTTTCATTATTGTATTGTTTTTAAGTTTTTTTGCATGACAAGATATGTGCAGTGTGCATAGGAATTCATTCATGTTTTTTTTCCAAATTATAATCCGGCTCTCCAACAGTTTGAATATTTATCAGACAAAGCTGATCGTGATAAGGAGAAAATTAAGTATACATTTGTTCTCTTAGATTTTAGAGAGATAAAAATGATGAGAATTTGAGGCCTCCCTGATGAACAGAGAAGAAGATATTAGGACCAAAATGATATTAGGGCATTCTTTCTCAAGTTTTATTGTATTTTTACTACGAACAAATGGTTACAACCAGGCATTAAAAGCCTGTAGTTCTTCATTCTTTCTTTCAATCTTGATACTGCTAAGAAAACTTCCACATAAACAAGGAGAAAAGGAGTGGGGCAGAGACTAGAGAGTTGTAAAAAGACTTTGTAAAAAGAAGCTCCTTTGTCAATGGCTTTAAGGTTTATTTATTTATTTATTTATTTACAGTATTTATATTCCACCCTTCTCACCCTAAAGGGGACTCAAGGCAGATCACAATGCACACATACACAACAAACATTCAATGCTGTTTTCAGATATACAAGACAGACGGGTATTTTGGCATTTCAAGTTAGGTGCCTGGAGGTTCAGCTCAATCCCTGCCATGCCGCGGGGGGTGGGGGTGGGGGTTGCTCTTCATTCACTATGACGGCGAGTGTTTTTATTGTATTTCCTCCTTGCTCTTTGATTCCCAGCATTTTTATGGTGTCGTAAAATACCTTCCCACTTTTAAGCAGTCTCTCATTTCTTTACTCACAGCTCAGCTGTTTTCAAACTGCTTAGGCGGACAGTAAGCTAGGCTTAACAAATGCGTGCTCAATCTGACTAGGGCTTCGAACTTGCCACCTTCTGGTTGGCAGTGATCTATTGCTGCTGATGATTAACCAGCTGTGCTACAGCTTGGCCCAATCTTATCACGGAATATGAATCATTTTAGCTGGATGTCAAACATCCCTGATTTCAGACTGTTCACTCTTGACTGATCTTCCCCCAGGTGTCAGCAGATGAGGTGTGTGGTTGCCCCATGGTAAAAGACGTATTTGAGCTCACTGGGGAGTTCTGCCGTGTGCCCAAACGAAAATGCAATCGACACTACTGCTGGGAGAAGCTGCGCCGGGCTGAGGTGGACTTGGAGAGAGTACGCGTGGTATGGATCAGCAAACTTCACATATGTGTCTGGTTGTCAAAGGGTTATAATGAGCCCATCAACAGTGTATGAAATAGGTTTTTGGCTCGAGGAATCGTAGCAGTGGTGTGAATCCTTCCACTAGGGATGGGCTGTAATCTGCTCCTCTTGCTTTTGCAGTGGTACAAGCTGGACGAGCTGTTTGAACAGGAACGAAATGTACGGATGGCCATGACCAACCGAGCTGGGCTTCTTGCTCTCATGCTGCACCAGACAATCCAGCATGATCCACTGACCACAGACTTGCGTACAACCACTGATCGCTGAGCTAGTAAGCGAAAGGTAATAGCACCTGCTGCCATTGGATTGATAAAGAGGATTCAGTGCTAAGTTGCTTGGTTAGCTAAGCCTGGAGGGTGGGGGTGGATGCATATCTGAGATGGAGATGTAGAGTCTCTATTGGACACATAGAGTCTCAGCTGGGGGCTATATCAGTTACTGTGGGGTGTTGGGATATACTCTTTCCTTACATAGGAAGCATTGGTGCTCATACATTATTTGGAGAACAGTTGTGTGTTTTCCTCTCACTGGTCTCACTTAAGACAAGAGGATTGGGGAACTTGCTTCTGAGGAAGACATTAAATGAAGTGCCTTGAAATAGCACAATTTTTCCCTGTAGAAGAGTGTCAGCTTAAATCTCTGGCTAACACTAAGGCAAGACAAGGGTAGAGATTACTTCAGATACTGGGCTCCCAGCAGCATTTACCGTAGGCGTACTGTGGAGGGCTGGTTGGATTTGCATTCTTAACAACATTGAGATCTCATGTTCCCTCATTCTTGTCAAAGATTTGTATCATTTTCCTGTCCTTAACACCCATCTCTTTTCTTTGTAGGTGCTGTTGAGCCTATGGACAAGAGCTTCCCAATTCAGTGCCAATTGAACCAGAATCTTTTTTTAAAAATGATTTTTCTTAATCTCTTTTTTCATTAAAACAGTCTGGTGTAGCTTTTGCCTCTGAGCTCCTCTTCTTTGCTCCTGTAGAATCTAAGCTGTCTTTGACCATAAAACCCTTGCCAGTGGCTGTTAGCTGTGGTCCCTTTTTTTTCTAAAATATTCCCATGGTTTAAGGGCTGGAAGACTGACAGTTAGGGAAGGTGAAAGGAATGTTTCGGCTCATACTGGCTTAGGACAATCCCTGCTTCCTGAAGCAGAATTTTGATTAGATTTTTGATGCTGCATTGAAGGAAATACATGTGAAAACATTAAGCATTGTTGCCTTTCCATGTAGCTGCTGTCAGCTAAGTGTCATGGAACTGAAGGGGTTAAATATGCTGTCGAATCAGGGCAAAGGAACCAGATGGGTTACAAATCTCTCATCCCATTGTGTGCTGTTGCCAGGAGGCAGAAAAGAGGCTAATAAAAATATCTCTCAACCTTCTGTCTCATTCTCTCTCTGTATGTGCGTTTTATATTATGGGCCAGCATCAAATGACTTTGGATTACTGTTTAAATAGCTGCTATTCTTTATCTTTACTCCTAACTCAGGGCCCTTCCACACATCCATATAACCCAGAATATCAAGGCAGAAAATCCCAGAATGTCTGCCTTGGATTGGGTTATCTGAGTCCACACTGCCACATGATCCAGTTCAAAGCAGAAAATGTGGGATTTTATACAACTATGCGGAAGGCTATGCACAGTTACTGGGGCCAGCTGCAAGAGGCAAAAGACACAGGAGGCCAAAAGGATACAAAGAATCAGTCATCAGGGTAACACATTGAAGTGTATGTTTATTAAAGAGGTTACTTTGTAATATAGGGGGAAGACAGTGTATCCAGGGTGCTTGTCAGTTGCTGCTGGCCTTCTCCACTCCTCCAATGATTGTTTGCATATTTGATCAGCCGGGCTCCACAGGTCTCTAATTTGATCCAGCCGGGGATGTATGTGTGTGTATGTGGTGGTCGGTGCTCAGCATCAGAAGGACCCTGAGTCCACACTGCCATATATCCCAATTCAAAGCAGAAAATGTGGGGTTTTATTCAGCTGTGTGGAAGAGGACTTTCCATGCAGCCATATAACCCAGAATATCAAGGCAGAAAATCCCACAATGTCTGCTTTGAACTGGGTTATCTGAGTCCACACTGTGATAGATTCCAGTTCAAAGCAGAAAATGTGGGATTTTATTCAGCTGCGTAGAAGGGGCCTAAGTCTGCAGTGCCTTTCATGCTCTTTGATTTGTGTCTGGGCATTGCTGTGTTTGGTGGTCCCAATGTAGACTTGTCCACAACTGCATGGTGTATCGTAGACTCCTGCAGTGGTTAGAGGACCCCTCTTGTCTTTTGCTGAATTGTTGAATTTGTGTTGTCTTGACCTGAGAAATCAGCCGTAGCAGAGCACCTGATGAACCAACCTGGACACAGCATATTATTAGAGAACACAGAATGCTGGACCACTCTCACAGCCACCATGTCAGACTACCCAGAAAAGGCACTGAGATTCACAAGAAGCATGTGGACAATCTCAACAGAAAGGAAGAAACCATGAAAATAAACAAAATCTGGCTGCCAGTATTAAAAAAACCCCTCTAAAATCAGGACAGTAAATAAAAGTAATGGTATTCCCTGCAGTAACCTACGGATGTGAGAGCTCGACCATAGGGAAGGCTGAGCAAAGAAAGATAGATGCTTTTGAACTGTGGTGCTGGAGGAAAGTTCTGAGAGTGCCTTGGACCACCAGAAGATCCAACCATACTCCAGGAAATAAAGTGACTGCTCATTGGAGGGAAGGATATTGGAGGAAAAGATGAAGTACATAATGAGAAGACAGGAGAGCTTGGAGAAGACAATGATGCTGGGGAAAATGGAAGGAAAAAGGAAGAGGGGCCGACCAAGAGCAAGATGGATGGATGGCATCCTAGAAGTGACTGGCTTGACCTTGAAGGAGCTGGGGTGGTGACGGCCGACAGGGAGCTCTGGTGTGGGCTGGTCCATGAGGTCATGAAGAGTTGGAAACAACTGAACAAATGAACAACAACAACATCTTTGCCAATATATGGCTTTAATTGCAACAGAAAGGTCATTCAGCAGACTTGCAAACAAGGCAAATAGGCACAACTAGTCAAGAGCAATGTACTCTTTTAGAAATTTTGTGCATCGAAGATGATTTAGCTAAGCAAGTTGATTTTACTGAAGTTATTGCAAAATTTACATCAACGCAAGCTAGAAAATATAATTTGAGTTAAGTAAGGAGCTGGGGGTGGTGACGACTGAGAGGGAGCTCTGGCGTGGGCTGATCCATGAGGTCACAAAGAGTCGGAAGCGACTGAACGAATGAACAACAACAAATAAAGAGCAATACCCAAAAAGCAGGTGAATTCCAGGCAGGGGTCAATCAGGGTCAGCTAACACCTCCCAACAAAAAATTCCCCCAGGCAGCAACTAGCCAGGCTTTAAAGCTGCAAGGACATTAAATGCTAATTAAGGTGGCCCATTGCAACATTCACACTTGCCTCAAGAGTTCTCTCTCCCACCCTGGACATCACTTGCTTCGTTACCAACAAACCTCACAACCTCTGAGGATGCCTGCCATAGATGTGGGCAAAGCGTCAGGAGAGAATGCTTCTGGAACATGGCCATACAGCTCTGAACACTCACAACAATCCATTCTTGAATGTTCTTGCTGCACTTTGGTGGGGCAGAGGCGTATACAGAACCTATGACAGATCTCAGGACTCCACAGCCTTGAACCCTGGCGGTGCATTCATGCTGCAATCTATTCAAAATGATCTTGACAGATTAGAGAGATGGGCCAAAACTAACAAAATGAAGTTCAAAAAATGCAAGATACTCCACTTTGGCATGAAAAATGAAATGCAAAGATACAGAATGGGGGACGCCTGGCTCGAGAGCAGTAAGTGTGAAAAAGATCTTGGAGTCCTTGTGGACAAGTTAAACATGAGCCAACAATGTGATGTGGCGGCAAAAAAAGCCAATGGGTTTTTGGCCTGCATCAATAGGAGCATAGTGTCTAGATCAGGGGTCCACAAACTTTTTGAACAGAGGGCCAGGTCACAGTCCCTCAAACTGTTGGAGGGCTGGATTATAATTTGAAAAAAAATGAACGAATTCCTATACACAATGTGCATATTTTATTTGTAGTGCAAAAAAACACTTTAAAACAAAACAATAATTAAAATGAAGAACAATTTTAACAGATATAAACTTATTAGTATTTCAATGGATAGTGTGGACCTGCTTTTGGCTGATAAGATAGGATTGTTGTGGTGGTGGTGTGCTCATTTCAGACTTAGGTTGACCCTGAGCGAGGGCCAGGTAAATGACCTCCGAGGGCCGTATCCGGCCCCCGGGCCTTAGTTTGAGGACCCCTGGTCTAGATCTAGGGAAGTAATGCTACCCCTCTATTCTGCCTTGGTTAGACCACACCTGGAATATTGTGTCCAATTCTGGGCACCACAATTCAAGAGAGATATCAACAAGCTGGAATGTGTGTAGAGGAGGGCGACGAAAATGATCAAGGGTCTGGAGAACAAGCCCTATGAGGAGTGGCTTAAGGAGCTGGGCATGTTTAGCCTGAAGAAGAGAAGGCTGAGAGGAGATATGATAGCCATGTATAAATATGTGAGAGGAAGCCACAGGGAGGAGGGAGCAAGCTTGTTTTCTGCTTCCTTGGAGACTAGGACGTGGAACAATGGCTTCAAACTACAAGAGAGGAGATCTCATCTGAACATTAGGAAGAACTTCCTGACTGTGAGAGCTGTTCAGCAGTGGAACTCTCTGTCCCGGAGTGTGGTGGAGGCTTCTTCTTTGGAAGCTTTTAAACAGAGGCTGGATGGCCACCTGTTAGGGGTGATTTGAATGCAATATTCCTGCTTCTTGGCCTGGATGGCCCATGAGGTCTCTTCCAACTCTTTGATTCTATGATTCTATGATTCTAGAAAAAGCACTTTCCGCCTGTCCTCCGCGCGCCTCCCCCGGCCACGTGCCGGGGAGCATGCTGACGTCAGGGGTTTTTGGGCTTACCGTCATCTTCGTCACTTCCGCTTCCGGGAAGGGTGTTGTTGTTTGCGTCGAGGGGGTGTTCCTCCCTGGTGCCTTGGCGAAGTCCCTGCTGCAGGAGCAGGCGGAGGGGATTGGCAGGGCCCTTCCGGAGCCCGGTTTCCTGGAAGAGGAGGAGGAGGAGAAGGCGCAGTGCGGAAGGAAGGAAGGAAGGAAGCAAGAGACGGAGAGGCTGGTGAGTCAGGCGGCATCCTGAGTGAGGCAAGCAGCCACTATGGCGCCCTCGAGGAGGGAGGGACAGATGGGTCTCTTCCTGAAAGGGTGCCACACCGAGGAGGGGGCCAGCTTGTTTTCTGCTCCTCTGGAGACCAGGGCGCCAGGGATTCAAAGAGATCCACCTCAACATCTCTGTTTAGCACATGCTGCATATGGTGGAGCCGCCTTCTCTTGAGGCTGGATGACCATCTGTCAGGGCTGCTTTGATTGTATGTTCCTTGCGTGGCAGAAGAGGGTTGGACTGAATGGCCCTTGGGGTCTGTTCCCACTCTACGATTCCGTAGTCAGACCAGTGGCACTAGGAATGTTTCCTTGCAAGTTGTTCTCTCCATAACATTTGGTCTTCCTTTCTGGTGGAGGCTCCTTCTTTGGAAGCTTTTAAACAGAGGCTGGATGGCTATCTGTCATGGGTGATTTGAATGCAATATTCCTGCTTCATGGCCTGCATGGCCCATGAGGTCTCTTCCAACTCTTTGATTCTATGATTCTTAATGCTGCTACCATATTGCAACATAATATTTTTGTCCAAGACTATTAATATTACATAATATAATATATGTCAGAGGAATAGAGTGTGAAACTGAGAACCAAATCTAATATGTAAAATCATACTACATATATTTGACATTAATATTGAAATCTGAAATATATACAGAAAGTGGATAGTTTTAACTGAACCTTTTAATACGGTTTATATTTAAATCTGTTTAAATATTTGTATATTTTAAAGTCTGTGCTAACATTTTTATGTTAAGCCTGAAGGGGACTCAAATAGAATATAATAATAATAATAATAATAATAATAATAATTTCGGAGCATAATACTCTTGACTTCACAATCGTGTTAAAAAACAAAGTATGGATCGTCAATGTCACAGTCCCAGGTGACAGCAGGATTGTAGAGAAACAACAGGGAAAAGCTGACACGATATGAGGATTTAAAGATCGAACTGCAAAGACTCTGGCACAAACCAGTCAAGGTGATTCCATGGTAATCAGCACACTGGGTGCAGTGCCTAAAGACCTTGGCCTGCACTTTAACACAATCGGTGCTGACAAAATTACCATCTGCCAGCTGCAAAAGGCCACCTTACTGGGATTATTTGTCAATACATCACACAGTCCTAGACACTTGGGAAGTGTCCGACATGTGATCCAATTCAAGAGCCAGCAGAGTGTCTGCTGTGAACTCATCTTGTTGTGTTTCAAATAACAATATGGAAATTCTGTGATATTGTGGAAAGGGATCTATGGTTGGGATTTCACTCCTTCTCAATCAGGGCTCAGCTTGATGGTTCATTGCTGGTGAAGGGGGCATGACAGCTGCGCACTGGGTTGATCTGCCACTTTGAAGCCCCTTCTACACTGCCATATAATTCAGATTATCAAAGCAGATAATCCACATAATCTGTTTTGAACTGGATTCCATCAATCTACGCTGCTACCTAATCTAGTTCAAAGCAGATAATCTGGATTTTATATGGCTGTGTAGAAGGGGCCTGAGTCTCCTTGTGTAGAGAAAAAGCAGGGTAATAATAATAATAATTCACTGGAATTTATGTCACAAGAACCACCTGCCAGCAGCAAAGAATTGGTGGAATCATAAACCCACAAAAGGTCATAGAAAATGAACATGCAAAAATACTGTGGGACTTTCGAATCCAGACTGACAAAGTTTTGGAACACAATACGCCAGACATCATGATTGTGGAAAAGAAAAAAGACTGGATTATTGATGTCGCTATACCAGGTGACAGTCGCATTGAGGAAAAAGAACAGGAAAAACTCAGCCGCTACATACCACAAAATCAAACTGCAAAGGCTCAGACATAAACCAGTACAGGTGGTCCCAGTTGTCATCGGCACACTGGGTGCCATGCCAAAAGATCTCAACCGGCATTTGGAAACAATAAACATTGACAAAATCATGATCTGTCAACTGTTAAAGGCCACCTTACTTGGATCTGCGCGCATCATTTGAAAATAAATCACTCAGTCATAGATGCTTGGGAAGTGTTCAACTTGTGATTTTGTGATACGAAATCCATCATATAGATCTCATTTGCTGTGACATTCTGTGCTTTTGTGTCAATAATAATAATAATTGTAATAAAGGGGTGTTGTGTGGTTTTCAGCCTGTATTCCCATGCTTGTTTTCTCCTGACATTTCACGTGCATCTGTGGCAGGCATCTTCAAAGGATCATAGCCACAGATGCAGGTAAAATGTCAGGGGAAAATGCTGCTAGAACAGGGCCATACTGCCTGGAAACCACACAGCACCCAGTGATTCCAGCCATGAAAGCCTTCAATGATACATTAAACATAATAATAATAATAATAATAATAATAATAATAATAATAATAATAATAATAAGAAGAAGACCATTATCTGAGTGTGTCAGTCACCTCTTTGGGTGACATTCTCTTTAGCCAGCAATTCCCAGTTCTGATCCTGGGACACTGTACAGCCCAGATGGGTTGTGGCCCATAGAAATGAGACCAAGGGTGCTGTACAGTTAACGCAGTTTGACCATCATTTTCATTGTCGTGGCTCAATTTTGAGGAATCCTGGGAGTTGTCATTTGACAAGGTGTTGTGCCTTCCTAGCCAAAGAGTGCTGCTGCCTTGCCAAAGTACAGATTGGCTGATTCCTGAGCCATGGCAGTTAAAGTGGCTAAGCTGCATTAATTCTGCAGTCTGAGATGCACTCTTAGTCAGCCTTTTCCTCAACTATGGGAGCTGTTTGGTCTGTCTCTGTCCTAAGCTGGCTCTACACTGTAGACGTAATGACACCACATTATGTAATAAGATTTGTAGTTTGGTGAGGCACCAGTACTTTGGTCACATCATGAGAAGATAGGAAAGCTTGGAGAAGACAATTATGCTGGGGAAAATGAAAGGAAAAAGGAAGAGGGGCTGACCAAGGGCAAGATGGATGGATGGGATCCTTGAAGTGACTGGCTTGACTCTGAAGGAGCTGGCGGTGGTGACGGCTGACAGGGAGCTCTGGTGTGGACTGGTCCATGAGGTCACGAAGAGTCGGAAGCGACTGAACGAATGAACAACAATGAGGGTTACACATAGAGTGCTACACATAGCTAACAGTCTTGTAAAACTATAACTTCTATGATTACATACAATTGAGCCATGATGAGTTAAAGCAGTAGTAAACTGCCGTAATAATATAGTATAAATACACTTTTAATTGTTGCTCCAGCCTTGGCCCCTTCCAGTACCTTTTATGTCTTATGTTGGGGAATCTGAATTTTTTGTGTATCATTGTAGTTCAGTGGGCCCTTGGTATCTGCTGGGTTTGATTCCAGGAATTTCTGTAGACACCAACATCTGTGGATACTCAACTCCCATTATATACAATGGTGTAGCAACATGGTGTCCCTTATATAAAATGGCAAGATCAAGATTTGCTTTTTGGGGGAAAAGGTTTTGAAGGAACATTAGAATCTGTGGATACGGAGTGCCCTATGTTTTCAGCTCTCAATTGCTCCTGCTATAGAAATGCAAAATTAACTGTCCCTTGAATTGTTGGTCTGTTATGTCCTAATCTAGCTGGTAATGTGGTAATTATGATTGCCTCAGTTTACATTTGGGAAAGTGCCTAGGATAGTAGAAGGTTGAAGGCACATTGATTTAGGGAAGTATTTTCTGGATGAATACGTACTATCTCTTATTGTCAGTGGTGAATTCAATACCAAACGGCCATGCACATAGAAGATTTATCATGGAGAAGGTGAAGAGTGATGGATTTGTGCTTGCATAATTGCCTCTTGGAAACTATTGCATGAAGTGATCTGCCAAGTGTGATTGACTCATCAGAGATGTAATGTTTGTATTGCCTCAAACTGAATGTTTTTTAAATGGACCCGGTTTACTTATGCAGGTGCCAGCCAGCATGACAGAGAACTAAAGTGATGCCTGTTGATGTGAATGATACCTTGGTGTTTAGCCACTCAGTCATTGAATTTTTTTTCATGTCAGGAGTGACTTGAGAAGTTCCAAGTCTGTGGATACTTCTTGTGTGAGAGAATTGGCCGTCTACAAGGACGTTGCCCAGGAGTCCCCCGGATGTTTAACCATCCTGTGGGAGGCTTCTCTCATGTCCCCGCATGAGAAGCTGGAACTGACAGATGGGAGCTCACCCTGCTTCCCGGATAATGAACTACAAACCTTTCCGTCTGCAGTCCTGCCGCCACAAGGGTTTAACTCATTGTGCCACTGGGGGCTCCTAGTCATTGAAATGATGTGAGATAATATTCACTCTGTGTAGTACAACCCTTATATCCATGGGATACATGTTCCAAGACTCACTCGCAGATACCTGAAAGTGTGGGTAATAGCGAACCCTATATTTTGACTATACTTGGACTGACACATACCATATAATCACACTGGAGGACCCAGATAGGCTCACAAGCACTTCCAGGGGGATATTTTTGGGAAGTGAAACTGTGGGCATTGAATCCATGGATAATGTGGTTGTACTGTACATTATGTTTGCAACAGTCGCATATGGCAAGTGTGAATGGCACGGATTGAGGCTGGCTCAGGGCTTGAAAGGGAAGGGAATTGAGGGGTCGACTCCCATCTGTGTACACACCTTCATCCCCCCCACCCCTGAGTCAAAACCGGCTGGTATTTCATTATCTGAGTTGTTGTTTTTTTCTCCCCAAGATTGAACAATTGCAGTTTCTCTTGGCATTTGATAGGGACAGAAGGATGTATTAGTGCATAGACAGAGGCAGGGCCGTAGGCAGAAATGGGGGGGGGGGGGGGTTGAAACATTTTTAAGCAAATCACGAAGAGTTATTATATGATTTGTTCTATATTTTTATATAGACTTGATTAAATCGAATTTCTATTTTAGTTACAAAGTTTAAAGTCTTAAAAAATGGAAAAGGACTCTTAATTGGTCATTTAGTGGTTACAAAAGAATACCACAA